TGACTTCAAAGGGGGCAACGCGGGCTTTTTTTTAAAAAAAAAAAAAAAAAAAAAAAAAAAATCCCACCTAAAAATCATGCTATTGTCAAAACAAAGTGGAGGCTGTGATGTGGTGTTCCTGCCTTCTACCTGGCCCTTCATTTACGCGCTGATTCACAGCTGCCAGCGACTCCCAGTCATTAATGGGAATGAGAAGAGCACTCCCGTATGCATAACAAATCCTGCCCTGCCGAGATCTGCATTTATACCCGTCGTGCTGCTTCTCTGAGGACAGCCGAGGGTTTTTTTAGAAACAATTACTCCTTGGAGAGCCTCCATGGAGCAGCGTAAGCCCTAGCTGGCCCCACAGAGGAGAAGGTCCAAGCTTGGAGTGGACAGCAATGACTCCACCAGCGCAGAAGACTCACAAGACTTGAATGCAAAGCTCCCCAAAGTTCTAACCTTAAAAATGCAAGCTCTCCTCCCCAGCTGCCTGTTGCTTTGCTGAATTTCAACCATTCAGGCTGTGATTTCAACCAGGCTCTGCAAGGAAAGCATCCATCCCCACAGGCCAATCACTTCCCAAAAGCACAGTTAGTGAAACTCTGCCATACTTGCACCCGCATTTTTCTGCAAAGCTGCTGCTGAGCACAGCAAACCCTCAACGTGAGCCACGGGGCAGGGATTGCTCCACTAGAGGTGGTTTTGTGCTTAAAAAATAAATGCAGGGTCAGATTTGAAGGAACGAGGATGATATGATTTTGTGATGGGACCCCAGCTACCAAACTTTTTGCATCAATTTACATACATCAAAAGTCCAGCAATAAGAGACTCAAGGGCCATCTCTGGTCTTTTATCTACTCTGATGTCTTTTATCTACTCTGCTCTGGTGAAACCCCCCCCCTGCAGCCCTGCATCCAGCTCGGGGGTCCTCAGCATGGGACAGACCTGGACCTGTTGGAGCGGGGCCAGAGGAGGCCACAGCCATGGTCAGAGGGCTGGAACAGCTCTGCTGGGAGGACAGGCTGGGAGAGTTGGGGTTGTTCAGCCTGGAGAAGAGAAGGCTCTGGGCGGACCTGATTGTGGCCTTTCTGTGCTTAAAGGGGGCTTAGAAGAAAGATGGGGATGGACTTTTTAGCAGGGCCTGTAGGGATAGGACAAGGGGTGATGGTTTGAAACTAAAGGAGGGGAGATTCAGACTGGATGGAAGGAAATTGTTTACAGTGAGGGTGGTGGGACACTGGGAGAGGTTGCCCAGAGAGGTGGTGGATGCCCCATCCCTGGGAACATTCCAGGTCAGGTTGGATGGGGCTGTGAGCAACCTGATGGGGTTGAAGATGTCCCTGCCCATTGCAGGGGGGTTGGGCTAGATGGCCTTCAAAGGTCCCTTCCCACCCAAACCATCCTGTGATTTTATAATCCAAAGAGGCAACACAGCTGTTTGAGTTTGGAAACATCTGATAGCTGCTTGGCACGTGCATAGCCAAGACCACAAGGGGCAAAGCAATGAGGACTCAGAAAGGGCTGTCAGGCTCTGGAATGGGCTGCGCAGGGAGGTGGTCAAGTCCCCATCCCTGGAGGTCTTTAAAAGAAGGGTAGATGAGGTGCTTAGGGCCAGGGTTTAGTGGTGGGATGGCAGGGGTAGGGGAATGGTTGGGCTTGGTGATCTTAAAGGTCTTTTCCAACCTAGACAATTCTATGACTCTATGATTCTATGACTGGGGTGGGTGGTGCAGGTGCTTCCCTACCTCCATGGAGCAGCAAAGCACAGCATCTTCCTTCACATCCTGAGATTGCAACAACTGCAAAAGAGAGAAGACAGGCGGTGAGAAATGTGTGACCTCCTCCTCCCTTATGACCTTTCTTCCATCTCTTCGTCCAGCTTGGCTTTTGCCACTTCCAGGAGGAAAGGACAGAAAATCAGAAAGAGGGGAGGAAAGAGATTATCAAAACAAAAATTCAAGATAAACAGTGACAAAACATGGGGTAAAGGGTATCACCAGCGTATCCGCTGCTGGGAGCCAGCAAGTGGGGCAGAATACAGGGAACTTAGATTAACAGTGTTCAGAATAAATTGTATTTAGGTTACATGGCTTTTTTTATCCCACGGCAGGCAATGAGAAAACGCATTCGTTTCACATACACAGCGACTAAATACAACCATCAGATGACAATATTCAAGCAGCACAGCCCTCGGAGCGGCTGTTTGGAAGGGAAGGGCTCTGCCC